GGCTGCTACTTCTCACTGCCTTGTTTAGCTATATAATTACAAACATACATACAAAGACTTTTTAAGCTCTTATCATTTTACTTTTTCACAACTGCCGACACACTCAACCATTAACACGGTGTCATTTTTTCTTTTGTTCTCAGAGTCCAGGTAATACTTCACTGAACTGTTGCAATGAGACAACAGTGCCCCCATTTGGTGGAACCGGAAATTACAACACTGCCAGAGTTCCTGTATATAATCTACACAGCACCGAGTGTCAGAGCTTTCTGCTTTCCTCCTTTGCTGTGTAGTAATGACAATAAAAAAAGGAAAAGCTGAAATAAGTCCGGTTATTAACTTGAAACGACTCCTCCATTTGTTACTGTTTTACGGACACCTTGTAACTGTGTGTTTTTAAGGACGCAGCACGCACCTCTGCAGGCTCACATACCAACAATGAGTACAGCAGGGCTGAGCAGATGAGTTTGGTTGGCACAGTGTCAGTCTGCAGAGGAAATACTAGCAGCTGCACAGATCCAGATTTTGTTTGTCGGCAGTGTCACGGTACTGGCTTGTGTGACCCAGTGTTTTGAGTTTCTACGTATTTTGTTGTTCATTTGTGTTCTAGTTTCATATTCAGCTGACCTAAATTCTGTCATGGCTAGGGTGCAGTTACAGTTCATGGTTTAACAGATTCCCCTTGGGTCTCCCCCGTGTTTAAGTCTCCCTCATTGGTTAGTGTGTCTAATCTGTCATGTCTCATGTCTGTGAGTTTCATGTTGTATAGCTCATGTCATTTCTGTGTCTTATTATGGTTCCCGTTTCACTTTGAAGGGGTCTTGTGGTGCATGTTCATTGTTTTAGTTTCACTTCCACTGTGGCGTCATGATGTTCATGGTAGCAGCTGTTTTTCCACTTCCCCTTATTACCTCTTGTGTATTTAGTCTATGTGTTTCCGTTTAGTCATTGTCAGGTCGTCTGTGTTACCTCCCCCATGTCTTGTCACAGTGTTCAGAGTGTTCATAGTCATAGTCATAGTTATAGTCTTCCTAGTTTTCATAGTTGAATCACAATTTTCTTAGTTTTCATTTTTCCCTGTTTAGGTTCTGGTGTAGTTTCACCACTGTCCTTGCTGCTTGCTTTTTGCCTCCTCGTATGAGCCCTAATAAAGGCTCGCCTTTCGTTTAGAGTTCAGTTCCGTCTCCTCGCCTGTGTCTCCTCCTGGGTTCTCCTCACTCGACCCACCACCGTGACATCCAGATATCTAAATGTAAGCTTTGTACAGCTAAACCCAATAATTAAATCAACTGATCATAAAATTAACATTGAATTGAATTAACATCAGAATAAAGCTCAGCTAGGAAGATGCAACAAACACACGTCCGTCTCGTCTGGTACATAACAGCCGGGCTGATAAAACGCAGAAAGAAAAGGCAAAACTGAAACTCTTCTCAGAATAACAGTGTGTGAGTCATCACTGGACTAGCAGCTCAGTTCAATAATTCAATGCTCCTCTGTAAGTATGAATTATTAAGCCTGGAGACGATGTCCTGTGCTGTGAAACCGTTCCAATGAATATTTCCCCTTTTATTAGGAACTGCTGCTTCATCTTGCGTGATCGGCTTCTGGAGTCGCTGAACTTCAGTGAGTCTGGGAGTTTATAAAGCACGTCACACGTCTTACATATGTTCACTATATAAACTGAACACCGACTTAATCAAAAAGATGATTGCATTTTATCTGTGGGACATCCCAGATGGGCAGGGGCAGCGCAGCGCTAAACCTAACCAGCAAACATGTTTTCCATGGATACCGTGTGTGTGAATGGCTTGAACCACCTGGGAAGCAGACCTTTTTGTTTCTTAACCTTTTAATCCCTACATGTGACAGCAGACACTACAGTCTTCAGAGACGCAGCCACGAGACTCAGCTGCATATGATATTTTCCTAAATCCATAGAAAAAAAGTTTGTCCAGATAAAAATGATCATCTTTGCAAATTTGCCATTTGCACTTTCTTTTAAATCTGCTCCTGGTACCACTGCCTAGTTTTCCCTGTTCATCACACTTTTCTTCTGAGCACATTTTTGCCTCGTTCTTCTCCATCTTCACCTGTTTTTCTCAGAATCATTAAGTGTCTCGTTTAGATTTCTGCCCTTTTCTCCTCCTTCTCATCACATTGTGACCATAGACTGTATATTAAAGATATGTAGCTTCCAAGCAGACAGTAAAAACGAGGATTTAGCTTTCAGGTTAGAAATACAAAGCCAGACTGAAATGCCTTGAGCCTGCTTTTTGAATCGAAGGTCACCAGATGGTGTTAGCTGTGGCTGGGAAAAGGACTTCCTGTCAAACTATGACTTGACCTCTTTAAACACTTTCTATCGAGTTTGTGGCCTTAGTTACTAATTTTAGGTTATACTGAATACAACATTAAATCTATTTTGTAAATGTCTCGATGCATGCTCAATCATCCAGAGAAGGAAATCCCAAAAAGTTGATTCTGTTTTGCTACGTGCAGATGAACAGAATCAACTTTTGGGGATTTTGTAAATCTCAATGAAACCATGTTTGAAAATGAAGAATTATCTGGGATTATCTGTGAAACTGCACTTGTCAATCACAAAATAATTAACAGCAACGAGCAGCACAGTTGAGAAGAAGGGACAATGCAGACAATGCAATCGACCCAAAGGCTAAAGCTCAAGGGGGTCGCTGCACTGCTGTAAACAACATGCACACATAAAGCTTGCAGCTAACATTTCCCCCATGCATGCAGCAAGTATAAATATGAAAAAATAGATTTATTAATACAGGGTGGGCCATTTATATGGATACACCGTAATAACATGGGAATGGTTGGTGATATTAAAGTC